GGAGCTGAGCATCCAGCGATTACGGCGGGTGTCATCATCATCCCACAAGGCTTCAAGGAGAGAGAGTTAGAGACGAGGAGGTGGTCGGGAGGGAGAGAGGGAGAGAAGGAGAGAGGGGAGAGAGAGAGAGAGGGAGGGAGGGAGGGAGGGGTGCAGTGCTTCCGCTGAACTACAGGAGCAGGCAGCTTGAGTGGGAACTCTAGTACTTGTCATCACAACTGCATGTTACTGAAAAGTGTGAGGCAGGGGTGTCTGAGTTCAGCGGGGAAGCTGGAGGCGATGCAGCAACAGCAATTAGAACAACAGCAGCAGCAACAACAACAACTTAGATCACAAACAGACAGGAGGAGGGGGACAGGTCTGCTGTTACATCATCGTATATTTTAGTAAATGAGTAACTGAAAGACGGAGACAGATCCTGCACTTAAAGTAGCCTGGTGGTTATATGCACACATTCAATGTACAGAGGCTAAAGTCCTCTAAAGCGGGCAGTCCAGGTTCGAATCCAACCTGTGGCTTCTTTCCTGTGTGTCATTCCCCACTCTCTCTCTCCCTGATTTTTTTTAAGATTTATTTTTGGGCTTTTTGAGATAGGACAGTGGATAGAATCAGAAATCAGGGAGAGAGTAGGATATGACATGCAGGGAAAGGAGCAACATGTGGGATTTGAACCTTGGTCGTCCGCTTTGGACGAGCTAAGCCTCCATACGTGGGGTGCGCGCACTAACCACTGCGCCACCAGCGCCCCACTCCAAGATTTACAACTATCCTGTCTCTCCAATAAAGACACAAAAAGCCCAGAAATAAAACGTAAAAAAAAAAAAAAAGTAATAACGGCCTGCAGGGGGAGACTCCACTCACTAATGACTTAATGTTCAAATGTTCTAGTTTCAAGTCTACTTAAAGTCAGTGTGATGTTCATATTCAAAGTGATGGTCCTTGTTAGAGTTATATAGATGATGAACATTACAACTAGATTCCTGTTATTGAAAGTTTGCAGCCTTCGCAACCTGTCAGTCATGTCGATGAGTATTTCACCTGCTTGTTGTCCAAATATGGTCACTTATGTAAAAAATAAATAAAAAAGATGATAATTTTGACTATTTAGGAGTAGATGTGTAATGTTCTCCTTAAGACAAAGAGATGTTCTGGGTATGCGTTTGTGTCTGAAGGAAAACGGCTTCAGTGCTCCTACTGAAGTTTTAAAAAAATTAAATTCATAAAAAGATAATATTCTAATAATTCCCCTTGTAGATTGAATAATAGTTTTTATCTGATCACCCTGTCATTCAAATACACATTACTTTTTTTTACTCAGCAACATGAGCTGCTTAATGTTATTATATGAAGCGGTAAGCTTGACTTTAAAGAATATGTACAACTTCTGATTGCTTGGGTTTGTCTTTCAACAAACACGCATGACCAAACCAAACCTTCAATTGAACTGTCTGTGGCCAGGTTGCATTGTGGGAAAGGTATCGGTGCCAATATGAGAAATACTATGTGTGCTGAGTTTTTTGCTGATTCAATCTTTTTCTTTTTAAACTGTCCATATGGTAAATTTACATAAAGTAAAGTGACACTTACTTACTTATTATCAGTAAACACAATAAACACTTGTGAAGGTGTTTGGGTTTATCTGAAGACATTTTAGGCTACATCTCTTCTCAATTTCTATGGTTTCAAACAGTTCAGACCATCAAGTTGGTCAAATGAATTATAGCCTATAGAGGATAAATAACAATTCCAAATATGATAAACAAACAACAACAACAACATAGATTTACATTAGTCTATCCACACACACTTTTTAATTAGGCTTTTGGTCTCTGTTAGGATGGATTGTTTCATGTTACTTTAACCCAGTAAACACTAAAGGATATCTTTAACAAACTTCTTATAAGATTTTAAAGTATAAAGTAGACCACATCCGATAGACTAAACGCTTTTTAAACGCAGTCTTAAAACTCATTTATTCAGTCTGACTTTTACATAGTGCTTTATATAAATTCAAATCTTAACATTACTGTATTGTCTTTTTTTATCCGACTATAATTTTAAATATTCTTCTCCTATGTATAATTTTAATATCGTGTTCTTTTTTCTTTTTTCTATCTTTTTATTCTTATTGGTGTGCTTTAGTCTCTCAATGATTTTATAAACTACTTTTTCATCATTAACTTTTCTGCACTCCTGTAAAGCACTTTGAACTGCAATTTAATTTGTCTGAAAGTTGCTCTATAAATAAAGTTTGATTGATTGATTGATAGACTACCCTACAGTTTCAGTTATGAGGAGATTTTAGAGCACACGTTTGAATATTAGTCACTCTTTTTCAAAGTGCAAAGAAACTCTATGTGACAGAAACTCTTTGAATTTTCATTAAAAAAAAAAAATTAAAAAAAGAATTGATGGATTTCAAGCAGTCTTCTTAAAAAGTGAGACCACCTTCACTTGAACGTGTCCGTGCAGTGTGTCCGCTTCTGTGTGTGTGTGTGTGTGTGTGTGTGTGTGTGTGTGTGTGTGTGTGTGTGTGTGTGTGTGTGTGTGTGTGTGTGTGTGTGTGTGTGTGTCTGTGTGAGTAATAGCGCTTCCCGGTGGATGCCTCCCTCTCGCCTATATCCCATTAAGTGTGTTCGGGAGCCAGGGGGGAGGAGGGGAAGAGGGGGAGGAGGGGGGGGGAGGCAGCCAGGGGCACGCACGCTCCATTAACGGACCCACTGCTGCGCCGCTCCGCCGGTAATTTGCGTAACGAGGACGGAGCGAGCCCGAGTTACTGCCAGAGCCTCTCTTTCCGCCTCTCTTTCCGCCCTTGTTTCCGATGCTGTGTGTATCTGTGTGTATCTCTGTGCGTGTGTGTGTGTGTGTGTGTGTGTGTGTGTGTGTGTGTGTGTGTGTGTGGGGTGATTTATAAACCACACACGCGGAGGAGTCGCCTCTTTTTTTTCCCTTTTTCTCCAGCGTTCCGTTTTCCGGTGATACTCAAGCGCCCCCATGTGGACGTGAACGGAACTCAGTGATGTCATAGAAGTGACACCACCCTGAAGAAGTTCGTTTAAAAAAATCAATTAGTGTTAAATACAAATTATTTTCTCACTTTTTCCTCACAAAACACAAAACTTACTGATAGCCTGTAAAAAGCTCTTTCTTAAAATGACACTGAAAATGTTTACAGCTATCTCCAGCAAAGTATGTTGTATTTAATCTTTTCTTAATTAAGACTAATGCTTTGTTAAATCCTGGTTGTATATATTCACATTCTTAGTTTTGGTATTTTTAGTGCTTATTTACTTTGTATTTAATATTATATTGTGTTTAAATTTGCTAACATTGTGTTTTTTGCTCATATTGTGTGTTTGGACAACCTGCTGCTGTAACGCCACAATTTCCCAGTTTGGGATCAATAAAGTAATTCTATTCTATTCTAAAACAGTAACAGGTTTATGTGTTCTTAAACTCAGAAACAAAGCCTTTTAGCCAGAAATGTGGTTGAATTATTTCAGCATTAAGGCTACAGAGACCCCCCCCCTTATATTCTTCCACCTGTTATTTAAACCAACAGTTGTGGGCCTTATTTCTAAAATTTGAAATCATTCTTTAATAGACCGGCATTCTTTTGTTTTAATGTGTCAGATGAGTTAGAGCAGTGGTTCTCAACTGGTGGGTGGGGACCCTAAAGTGGGTCGGGAAGCTGTTTTTTAAGGGGTCGAGAGTTTTTAAACATGAGATGAGATGAGATTCAACTTTATTGTCATTACACATATAAAAGTATAGAGTAACAAATGAGGTTTGGCATCTCACCAGAAGTGCAATAAGCAGAAAGTGCAAGAATCTGTGCTATGTGCAGTAATTACAAAATGTACAGATGAATGTGAATATAAACACAAAAAAATAGAATTATTGGGTATATATGGATGGCTGGATTAATGGGATGCATGTTTGTTTTGTTCCATTTTCTTTTTCTTTCAACGTTGTTCTGTCACGTTTGTATCGTCTGAGGTCCAAACGTCACAATTCTTAATTAAATAAGCTGATTGAATAATACCAGACATTTGGGTCGCGATTTTTCAAGAAGGAGTTAGCGGTGGGTCCTGAGGCTGGACTAGTTGAGAACCATCGAGTTAGAGGATGTCTTCTCACGTGTTGGAAGGATTTTTATCATTTAAGAGTTTAGACTCGTTTTAGGACACAAAGTCCTAACACTCCTTTGAATCCAAATTGAAAAAGTCTGTAGAGATTAATGACAAATTCATGATATGTTTTGTAACAGATTGCACAGAAATGAGCCATACCCTCCAGCAGGAAACTGACTGCGTCTGATGCTGGTGCATTAATTTCATCTATTAACTGACAGCTCACATACAACACTTCCAGTTCATTCCTCGAGACAAGGCCAGACTATTGATCGCTCTGCTGCTGATAAATAAAGCTCGACAGTGTGCTTGTTACACTAACACAACCCAGTCCATTAAAGAACAACTTTTGAGACTTGTAGAGGGTCAGCAACAGATCACATTGCTTACCTCCTGATGACCTACGAGTCCACCATGCAACTGGAGATCTTCAGGTGGGTCATTACTTACTATTCCTCGGACTAACCCAAAAACTAAAGGTCACCAAGCCTTTTTCTGCTCGGGGAGTCGGGGCCCTAAATTGTGGAATGACCTGCCGCAGGAGATCAGGGAAGCTAACACATGGTCTTCTTTTAAGTCACTTCAATTCTAGACTTGCTTTTTACTGATTTTTTTTTGGTTTTATTAGTTATATTCTTTCATTCTTTCTTTTTTGTAACTTGTTTTAGAAGTCCTATACAAATATAAGTATTATTATTATTATTACTAATAAACAGACTCTTTGCATTACAGTCTTGTTGAGGTCAAACTTCAGAAGTGGTCTTAAAGTGATCAAAAGGAAAGCCATTACTCTTATAGAGCTTTTAGTACATGCAACAAACTTGATTAATTCTACTGAAATAAGAAAAATAACCACCAAACAAAAACAAATGTTATTCTTCATATTTATTGATAATAAGACCACTGATGGTGACTTAGTCAACAGTAGACAGCAGGGTGAAACAGTTTGAGTCTGGCGACCCCATGTGTAAGCTGGATGATATTACAATTTAGTAAATTACAGAACGATATCAGTTCAGGGAAGAAGGGAAAAAAAGAAGTTATAGAAGAGTGTTGGAAAAAAACATACATTCACCAAATAAATGTACAGCTTTAAAAAGCAATTTGAGCAGCCACAACAGAATACTGACCGAAACTGAAAACAACAGGATCAAAAAAATGAGACTCTCTCTCTCTCTCGTACACACTCACACACCTTATCACGGCGAGACTAACACTCCAGGTTAAGGACGTAATCAAATAAAGACATTCACACACGCACACTGAGAGAAGAGATCAAAATCACTTAGTGAAACTGTAAACGTAATGCCAAACAAAACCATAATAAATATTCAGCCAAATTTAAACAGCTACAAGTTTCATGTTTACACTCTAACTAAAACAGTAGCCACAACTCTTTTTTCAGTGCGAGGTTTTTTTTCTACAAACTATCAAACGAATACAGATTATAACAGCACAGAGTGCAGAATCAAAACGGTGACACGACATTTTCTACTCATTAGCATATTAGACTGAGAAACATTACATCATAAAAATTACATTTCCAATAAATATCTACAGATGATGATGATGATGATGATGATGATGACATGGTGATTACATACGTAGAATACTGTAAATACTAGATGAACACTGTTCAGATCTCTCACTGTACAAACCGCTTTTTGCATTTTTTCCACCAGAAGAAAACAATTCATAATCGTCTTGATTTGATACGACCCTGACAGGCTGAAAATCTGTTTCACTGACCTCTTCTGGGGGGAAAATTACACATCAAATCCTTGTTTTGTTTCGCCTGTATTCACAGGTAAGTGACGTCAGCTACAACACTATATCACTGTAACAACTTCAACCTGCAGATGTTGGCAAAAAAACAAGATTTTCATCTGCTGTTAACGGGCTCTTCAAAGCTGAATGTTTACATTTTGGAATTTAGTGCATTTTTTAGAGGTAACACAAGATTTATGACATTTTTTAATGTAACAATATGCCTCAAACTAAGTGCATGTTTGATCTTCAAGTTGTGTCCTGAACTCTTTTTTTCCCTCCACTTTGTATAAACTTTGCCAATGTTTAAATTCCAGGGCTTGGCCGGACAGTTTTTGTAACTTCTCAAAACGTGATACAACTTGATAATTAAGGCCACACTTCAGGCATACGCTAGTGAAAGGTGTGAAAGTTGGCAGGATTTTTAAACTTTCACCCTCTTTAGTCTTTAGTTTTCAGTCTTTGATTATTTCTTTGCCACTTTTCATTCGTCCGCTGAGTGAAATACGATGAAGAACTTTGAGGACACAAAGTAGGAGAGTGGACAACTGCTAGGATCTAACCCTCGCTGTTCCAAACAACTTTAAACTTTGCCGTTAGACATGTTGAGCTGATACGTTTAAGAACTTTGTTTGAAGCACATGAACCTATGGAAAATGAAACGTGAAAGGCCCGATTGGCGGCTCACAACTTCATTTTAAAACCGCAAAATTTAATTCCAAAATCATTTAGTTAAGATGAAAAATCTATCATGCTTGAAAAGCTTTGAGGAAGAAAATTTAAAAAGTGCTCATGCTCACAGTTTACTGAACTTTGAGAGACTACTAGTGATATTGACCAATAGAAACTGATTTCTGACCAGGATGTGACCCTTTGACCCACCTTTAGGTAACAGAGTGGTAATCTTGAGGGCCCATCTGTAGAATATTAGCTTTAAAATGTTGCATGGTCAGGGACTCACTGGCAGAACTCGGCCTTTTGATGACAAAATGATGCCAAGTCTACTTTCCTATCACCCCCGCTCTAACATGCTCTAACGGCTTTGATTGGTAGTTTCTTCATGACGATTCTTCAAGTTGAATTTGATGACAGGTTTGTTCACCAGCTACTTTTGTTTGTTTCGTTTGCAAGATTATCAGATTTCTTTCTCGCCAATAAAGAATCGAGGTACATCAAGTCAAAAAAATATCAGGCTTTGTCTTAAGTTTAAAAAGTCTCGATTGATTCCAACACTTCTTTTCTTTGTTTTCATATAAATGTAAAATGATCATCCACAGAACGCATAATCAGTGTGCATGTCACAACCATATTAATAATATACAATGATAAGCAATAGCAAAGTCAAATGCAAAACTAAACTATTTTTAAAGCACTTCCAAGCTTTAGTTGTGTCATTCTGTACAAAGAAGTGCAGTGTTCCTCTTATGACGCTTGATGAAACATGCTGTAACAAACTAAAGAAGTCAAGCTGCACCCTATCTGAGACCATCACCACTGACGACTGTAGTTTACCGGCCTGTTTTTAGGTCTGAGATATGTGCTAATGAGCAACTTCTACATCAAGCAGCAGTGGGATGTGGTGTGTTGAACGCTTTGATGCAACAGCAGTGAGTCAAGGAATGGTGCTTTACAATAAGATACAACAAGATTTTACATGAAGATCGGGCAGAGAGACGCAGGAGGTGAACTCTAATTCAGATACGTGATGGGAGTTTCAGGAATTTACTCTTGTCATGTGTCGAGGCTCCTCGTCTCTTCTTCTCTGCATCTCCCTGAAATATAACACAAGGAAACATAGTTAATTGTGTATAAATTGCACATGTAGCCATGATTTTGGGCCACTTGGAGGCAGTAGAACAAAATGAGACAAAACATTGAAGTACTATCACCTGAGGCCCGTTTCAGAAAGTAGGTTGAGTAAACGCTCAGGCTAACTGACCTCTGAGTTGATTAATCCTCATGTGGGTTAGAGTTAGGGGGTTAGGGTTTCCAGTTTGAGAACAGACGATTTTAGTTCATTCAATAAACTCTGAGTAGGTTCACTCGGGGTTCAGCGTATGCTCCACGACTATAAAAAGGCAAAATTAGTGGAGGCCTGATCCTACAATTCACCATGGCAACAGGTGACAAAAATAGTTCCTCGCACTTTAACCCTCTTGAATTAAAAATCCTCATGTGGACATGCAACGAGTTTAAACATACACTAAAAAAAGTCAATACTTAAGTGTGAATGTACTCTAATTATTTAGTATTTAAATCACACAATCTCAGGTCAAATCTGGTGGAATGGTGTTGATCCTAAATTTACTCCAGTCGGAGAAAAGTTGGACTTGGAAGCAGCTGGAAATAAAAATTTAAGAGCAAACTAGACTCATGGTGGTAACTTACTTTAATCACATTTGACATATTAAATAAACTATATTTCACTGAGTGGCTATTATTGCTTTATCCCCAACATGATGCTGGTTTCACACACATAAATACCCTCTCTCATCTATTTCCTGTTAAGTTCATTTATTAGTCCTAATTAAATTAACATCTCCTGATGCAGCCCCATTCATCTAGACTAGAGGCCACGCCACATTCAACAAAAAAAAAGGAGGTTTTATAGGCTATAAAAACAACCTGGATTTTTATACAGACAAACGGGGAGTCTCCACTAACACGCACGTGATACCAACTGAATGAAAGAGTGACGGTATGACGGCTCTGTAAGAGGGAGGACCTGGAGAGAAACTCGGGGTTCAAAACCAGTTAAGGTTCACAGACTCAGTTACCATAGTAACAGACTCAGAGCTTAGGTTACCTCTCTTTCTGGAACGGGCTTGAGTTACCCCCCCCCCTTCTCAGGTTTCCTCCCATTATGAAACGGAAAACCCTCATTTCAGGGTTCACAGACTCTGGCTTTGCACGAAGCCTGCTTTCTGAAACGGGCAGAACAGTTGCCAGTTCACACATCCATGTAACAAGTATTAACATTTGTATTTGTTTAGAGTTGTGTTTTTTGGCAAACTGTTGAATTGAGGTACAATATGTACTCTCCTTTAACGTGTTTTGTTCTTAACTAAGGCCCTGTGTGCACCTAGCTTTTTTTTTTCTCTTAGCGCCAGCATGTTTTTACAACTGTTTTTTTTTTTTTGTTTTTGCAGCTGCTTGAAGATCTTTTAACATTTCACTGGAGCTCTTCTCAAAATGTTTGATATTCCCCGTAGTTTTGCCACCTATGGATTTTGTCTGATTCTGTCTCACGTCCTTTGTGCTCCATGTCTGCTGTTGTAAAAACGATCTCAAAAAAATAAACCATCCAGTAAAAAGCAACAGAGCAGTGTCGGTCATAAAGCAGCCCTTCTCAACAGACTGTTGTCATAGAGACAGAATGAACGAGCAACGCTTTAATTCTCAGTGCTCAAACGCTTCATGCAAGCACTAGAGTGCACAGTCGGCGCTTTTCGGCCCGGAAAAAATGCTAGGTAGACACTGGGCCTAACTCGTAGGGGGAAATAATGAGAGGATTTCTTGTCTGTGCTTAAAATTGTTAAAACACTTAAAAGCTGAGTGGAAAAGCAGTGGGTTTGTTATCAGGACCTACACATCTTAAAACACACAAACACTTAATTAAAGTAATTTGAGTCTTGATGTGTGTGGCTCTGTGTACACATCCCTCACCTGCCATGTCCCATCAGCTACACCATCTCATACTGATTGGCTGTGATGATCCTGGACAGACAGCACGCCAGCAACATGCCAATCAGCTGTAAGGCAAACAGAGAGCTCTGGCTTATTTTGTGTTTTGGGGTTCAAACATACTTGTAGAAAGAGAAGAAAACGTTTGAACAAGTTTAAGATTCATTTCAGTGAATCCCTGTTGTAGCCATCATGGTGATACTGATATGTCCTTACATCCTCTGGCAGTGTTATGTGAATGAAATCCAAATGAAGAAGAAAGAGTTGAGTTGCAAACAGATTCAGAACATTTTAAATGTAATAGAGGTAAAGACACAGATGCTACCAATAACACAACGGTTCAGTTCTGTTCAGATGTCTCAGTAAGCCATGACAGAGTGTCAGTGAGCCAGCATTCACAGCCAAACGGGATTCAAACTTATTTTATTATTAACACCTGTAAAACAACATTTTAGATATCTCATCAGGTGTCAACATTCAAGACACGTTAATGAATGTCAGCATTTAACAAATCCTGACTAACATAACATCCAACTAGCTTACAAAACCTTTAGAATCAGAATCAAAATCAGAATCAGAATCAGCTTTGTTGGCCAGGTATGCTTAAATTAAACACACGAGGAATTTTACTTTGGTAAACTGTGCTCTCTTTGTACAAAGGTATAACATTAAATATCAACAATAAACACAAAAATAAACAAATAAGCAAAGACTAATATGTACAAGGCTAAATAGGATAATATAAGATGTGGTGAGTAGTGCAAAGATGCTGAAGTAAACATGAGGTAGTTTTTACAGTATTTACATTAGAAAGCGTGCGTATATGATCATTTAAATTAAATATGACGTGGTTAATGCTTATGCTTTTATTTGCACACATTCACTAACAAAACATTGACCTTGTTCAACCCTTACCTGAGAGAAGGCGATCCCAAACGTCACTCCGGCGATAATAGCCATGTTGGTTTCCATGAACGAAGTGACCAGTTCATAACAGCCCTGAAACACAGGGGGCAGGTTAGTCGCAGAGGGGACAGGGGCAGATTATAATTGCAAATTAGAGGCAAAATGGATATCTGGGAGATGATCTGAGGCAGCAGTTAGTGTAAAGAAGAGGGGGAGGGTTTAAAGAGGTGAATGAGGACCTGTAATCTTCAGATTGGTGAGATAGTCAGGAAAAGAACAAAGACGTTTTAAAAGCAGACAAACATGAAGTGATAGAACATAATCAGACACTGACCTGGTGGTAGACTTTGCTCGGAGCTACAGTGGAATTGCGGAGGTCGTCTAAGTTGCAGTCAGAGGAGTTGAAGCAGCAGCTGGCAGGAATGCCGTTAGATGGGTAATACACACTGCCGAGCCAGCTGGTGTAGTTATACACTCCACAGCAGCGCAGCTAGAAATAACAAACAGAAGAGGATTCAAACATAAGGATGGTATTATATACTTTTACTACTGTCAACAAATCTCATCGAAGACCAAGACAAACAGATCTGAATGGTTTGTTTTTCTGGACCTCGTCTCTTGTGCTCAGCCCATACTGGTTCTAAAGTTCTTAAAGGAAGTTTTTTCTTGCCACTGTAACTTTGCTAAATGTTGCTTGGTGCTGTGCTCATGATGGATTAACGCTGGGTCTCTGTAATAAAGTGGCGAGTAAGGTCTTTTACCTGCTCGTTTGTAAAGCGTCTCGAGATAAATTTTGTTATGAATTGGCGCTACACAAAAAAAGATTGATTGATAGAGTAAATCTTTAAGGATGGATGCGCAACTTTTTAATCCAGGAAATGTTGCCCTTGAGCTCTAGCATGAAACCAAAACAAGCTGCAGTTTGGTGACAACTCATACTAAAGCCTACGCTCTCCTCCAGAGACGGACCTCCAACCCCTCTGCACTCGCATTCACAAACTTGTCCTTGGCTGGAGCTGCAATCGCCTGTGGCCTGCATTGATGTGTCAGCACAGGCTTTGTTTTCTTTTTTTCCTCTATTCCTTGTCTTAAACAGCTTTTACATGCAAGGAAAGGAGTCGGCCGTCCCGTCGGTGTAAACATGATGTAAACATGGCTCCGACAACAAGACAGCCAGAGGGACTCGTGCTTCTCTCTCATTGTAGACAGTCATGACTCAAAGAGATATTTACACAGGACATACTTGATTTCTGCTATATTTAAGTATGTGTAAAATATCCCACATTGTTCCTTTAAATAAGATACAAATTCTTTTCTTTTTGATTGGTCAATAAGTTCATTTAACAGCTAGAACACTCGTCCTACAGGAGTATAAAGTGTGTTTATTCTGGACTTCTTTCAGCCATGGTTCAAACATATTTTGTGTAAAAGTGAGCTTTATTGGTGTGTGAGTTAGAATGACTCAAAATAAATAACTATGTCCTTGTTTATTCTAATAAAGGAAAATGTCAGCTCAGAATTTAAGTGTAGATCATTAGTGGGTTTTTAACAGTTTTTGCATCAATAGAGCTCTATAGCGAAGAGAAATTAGCAAAATCAGGCTCCAGCTACACAGGAAACACTTTTTTTTATGTAAAGGTAAGGTTTTTTTTTTTTTTTGTGTGTGCTGCTGATGTTTTGGGAGATCAAATGAAGGGGACTTACCCTGTGCTGGATGTTATCAACAGCACGGCTCGCCTCATCCTCAGCATTGTAGTTCAAGACTGCATCAGTGTACGTCCTGTGAAAGGTTCCCTTTATCTGCAGCGTGCAAACACAAACAACCGAGTTAACAGCATAAAGGGGGATTCACACAGTTCTGATGTGAGATTTACAAATATTTGATCTGCACGCCGACCTCATGACGAAACACAAATCCAGAGATTCCAGCCACGAGCTCAGCGAGGAAGACCAGCGACAGAAACATGGCATACTACAGGGAGAGAGGAAGAAGTGCATGGTTTTGTATGAAAATCTTTGTTGTGAATCATTGGCCTATGCCTGCACACTCACACACGCATACACCCATACTCCAACACACACCTACTTGACCACCATTAACAGAACAAAGTGCCCCTCAGCATTTATTGGATTTCTGATCCCTCTCCACAGGATATAAAGTCAACCATTATTCCCTTTATCATGTGACCTGAGGCTAATTATGAAACATCCGACACACTCTTAGCGCTCCCTGCAACAATACACCCCGCCCTTTCTCTTCTTGCGGCATCTCACCAGCTTCAGCATCCATGGGCTTCCTCTGCAGGTGGCGAAGCATCCAAACAGGCCAAAAACGATGATGACGGTCCCGGTGCCAATGAGGACGTACGGGGCATTGGTGGAGTTGTCGGCGATCAGAGAGATGTAAGGGCCTAGCATCAACTTCCCCCATACTCCCACTGCCAGCAGGATGGCTCCTGTTATCTACAGGACGAGTTGTTGGATAGGTGCATGCAACAGAGAGAGAGCACAGGAAACAGAATGAAAGCATGGAACGGGGCCTTTATCTGTGCACTGCTGCAATATTACAAAAGCCGTGTGTGAGCAGTGTTGCAAAGGGGGGAGGAGGAGAAATGAGGATCAAGGTGGAACAAGAAAGGAGAGCAATTAGAGTGAGGGGTAGGAGACGCTAGACAGAAGACACACATTTATCTGTGAGTGCAGGATTACGATCACCTGCTTTATGAATATGACTGCACTCAGTCATACTCAAACGGAAAAGGAACGAGGCCACGTCAAAGAAGCTCTTTGATCCGAGGCGAGACGCTTCCTCCTGTTGCGCCTCTTTTAGCATTTCAAATGAAGGCTGTGGATAAAAGAGCGTGTTGTACTAGGCAGCTGAAGCGGCGTGTGTCTCAGCTGGGTATGTCTTGCTGGCGTTGGAAAGAGAACGGGGAGTGGAACGGCTGCTGATGATCTGACTCTAGCGAGGGCCAAGTCATCATACTGCCCCGTTTCCTTCCAAGAGGAGCCGGCTCGCAGGCCTGCTGCCAGGCTCTCTGCTTAGAGACAGCACAGGCCTGTACAAGATGTCTCTGTGCACCCTAGAACCTCTCGAACTGCAGACACCAATAATCTCACTTACAGTGGAAAATTTGCCAATATGACTGCTAGGTTCCCTCCCTTAGTTATTAGTCACCAGCATCATAAGACTACTAAGCATTTAAAGAGAAGGCGTGTTGGACTTATGGATGATGCAGACTCGCCCGGGGAAAGATAATTAGGTGATCAGCTAGCTAACGGAAACCATCCATAAACAGGCAACATTATTATAATACTGTAGTGCTATAGAAAAAACCTGACCGTGGTTTACAGGAAAAAAGAGAATTGATTTATATTTTATATCAGCACTTTGTTCTGGTTTTAAAGGGGCAAAAACGTGATATTTACATGTCAGTGTTTCCCCTAGGTTTACAGCTTTGGGGGGGGGGTGGCAGACGGACGCCGACACAAACACTTGAAGGAATCTTGGTGATCATGTGTTACTTTTAATGACAGCTGTCCTGTTCTATCGGAAAGGTATCCTTAAATGACTTCTTTCCCTGATTTCTGACTCTATCCACTGTCCTATCTCTACAATAAAGGCACAAAAGCCCAAAAATAAATCTAAAAAATAATAATAATAATAACTTGACGCCCCGGTAATATAATGGAAGTGGAAACACTGCATGTTCAAAAGCAAGCTGGCAGTGTGTATGGATAAGTGTTAATATAATAAAGTAAAATTATTGGACTTAACTGTTCAAATCGTTGTCTAAAACTAAAAGTAATGACTGAAACAGTTAGCTAAAGTTATTAAAGATTACAGGAAATTAAAAAAAAAAATTGTTAAAATAGCTGAAATCATTTTGAGTAATAATACTAAAATGAGCTAGATTTGTGCAGAATATTGTATTTGGATAAAAAAGGTCAAATAATTAGAGGAACGCAGGAAAATACATTCCTGAATTCATTACAAACCACCACCCAAAAAGTAAGCAGCAGAGGGAAACATCCCACTGAGGCATAAAGAGCGAGTCACGCCGAGTCACTGGATCAGAAGATCAGAGCAGCGGACCAGACTAGCATGAGTCAGCAGTTTTTTAAGCTAGTCTCTGCAGAGTTTAGGAATTATGCCTGTGATTACAAGTGCATATATTGATGTTTTTTTTTAAGTATGTTAAGTAAAATAGACAATTTCCTAAGATAGAATCATTGTGATGCTTATTCTGTTTATTTTTTCAGTATGTTTTAGCATCAAGCTAACAAACTAGGACGTCCCGTTCAACCTGTAAGAAATTGTGCCGACCCCGAAGAACATTGTACCAGACGCCACTTGTTGCAGCTAAAGATATTAGTCCCTTTTGGATTCAACATAGCGAGAGCAGTTTGAAGATGTTCACAGCAGCTACGGTTTGAAATGTGTGAACTTGGGGCACTGGCGGGCAAGTGGTTACGGCGCACCCCCAATGTACTAAGGCTTTTAAGCGGGTGGCCCGGGTTCATATCCGACCTGTGGCTCCTTCCCCGCATGTCTTTCCCCACTCTCTCTCCGTCTGATTTCCGCCTCTAGAAGTAAATCTAAAAAAAAGAAGAAGAAATGCCTGAACTTGATCTTGTCTTATGCAAACATCCACGCATGAATTTACATAAACACGATGATGCACAAGGACACGGAGGGTGAGATGATAAGAAGGGTTACAGGAAGAGAAGACACACACACACACACACACTGAAACACACTGAATGACAGCTCTGGGAGAAAGCATGAGATACAGCTGTATTATGAAATAACATATTTCTGCAGGTTAAAGCTGCTACTAGGCTCTAATTTTTTTCCCCAACAGTCCAAAAGATGCTGAGCGCTGCGCTTCTTCTCCAGGTGGTCGCTTTCTGTTGCAAACGCTCTCTCCGAATTGAAAACAATTGAAGAAAAAAAAAACACTGGTGCTCAGAAAAAAAACGCTAGGCGGACACGGGGCCTAAGGGTCGAAAGTGATTGTCTTACTTTTGAGCCAGCCTCAAGTGGCACTCAAAGGAACTGCAGTTTTTAGCACTTCTGATTGCTTTCATATGTCAGCGCCGGATTTTGAAGCTTGAACCTTCTGCACAGATAATTAAATGAATGAACTGAGGCATAAATGATACATTATAGTCTTTAATAGTTGATCAATCTATATTGTTTCATAGTTCATATGAACCTATACCAATTTAAAGGCTTCATATGCGATTTTTCACACTTAAATGTAAAAATAAATCAAGTATATCCTCTGAAAATAACTCTGTGAGTCATGACTGTCTACAATGGGTGTAACACCCGAGTCCCACTGTCTGTGATGTTTTCAGAGTTTTCAGAGTCCTATCTTCACTTTGTTTACATCGCCAGTACAGTGACTGACTCCTCCCCTCGAGTATAAAAGTTGTTTAATTGAGGGACTAGAGAAAAGAAGAATAACATACTGTACTCACTGCTTAACTGTGTTTCTAGATCACGCTCATTTCAGGTAAATTTACATGCAGTGTGAAGATACCAGCATAATAAAGATCGCTAGCATTAACATGCTAACACAACAATGCAGCGCGAGTTGTTTTGGTTTCATGCTGGTGCTCAAGGGCGACATCTGCTGGATCAAAAAATAGCATATAAAGCCTTTAATGTCTCTTAGTGTTGGGCTTACAATCAACGATTATTTTCTTTTTAATTTTCTGCAGCCCAAAACAGAATCTCCAAGTGTCTCGTTTTGACAAGCCGACAGTCTGAAAACCAATGATATTCTGTTTACCGCCATCTGTGATCATCTTCAAACCCTCACATTTGAGAAGCTGACACCTGGACATGTTTGGCATTTTGCCCACAAAATAAATAAAACAGCTCATTCTGTTTTTAAAACAGTTAGAATTCATTTTCCATCAGTGTACTCGAATCATCGCAGCTCTTACGTCCCTCCTCTTCAGCCGCTGTCTGGCTCAGCTCAAGGACCGCTGGCTGATCGTCACATTCGTCAGTAATGACTTTCCAATGTTTCTATTACCAGCGATTCTTACTGCAGCAGCAGGCTGTCGTGTCAGAGAACAGCCCTCTAGATGACGATGTCCTCACTGTTTACGGCCTACATTTTTTTCGGCAGCAAAATGTCTGGACCTCTAAGAGCAGCGCTCGCATACAAATAAGGGAGAAATCTTGTCAATGCTAAAGTGCTCATTTTCAAGTCAACAGGGAAATCAAGTCCAAGAAGCGGGTGGGGGGGGGGTGGGCAAGTCATCTAGACTTCCATGTCTGTTGATGAATGCCAAACAGCTTCAGACTGCTCCCTCTTTTCTCCTCCTTCCCTGGAGCCAAGCAGCCCCCCCCCCTGCACGTTTTGTTTGAAATTCAATGCCACCCTGGTAACAGCGCAGAGTTGAAAACAGGTCACCCCATCCCCCCCCCCATGTCCCCCCCGCCGGCCCTAATAAAGAAACAGAAGGTGCGATGACAAAATATGCTCGCGAGGACACCACGCGACTTCACCACCTGCTCTGCATTTATCTGTTCTGTGTGTGTACGAATGAAAAGTATTGCCACACAGCTATTCACACTTGAGACATTATCTGGCAGGACAAGCTGATGACAGTGAATCCGACCCCTGACATTGAGGCAGCTCTCCCTCTCTTTGGAACTCTGTACAAAGTGTGAACCTCTGCGTGCTTCGGGCCTCAGGGTTGAGGAGGTTCACACGGCGAGCTGTGAGACACCCCTGCACTTTGCACGCCTGAAACCTGACGCTGTCGATGTAAAGGGAGCCCTGAGAGACAGACAGTCCAATCCTGACTAAATATAAAACTTCATATCTAGAACACCTCGCATGTCTGCTCATGGACACTGAGCTGAACTGCTGATTGTTGGTTCTGCAATTTTCTTTCCTCAGTCTTAGGGGGTTACTTCTGGTTTTTGCAGAAGTCAAGTGGCTCTCTTTTCATTTCCTCCAGACTGGAATGAATGTTGAGGAGGAAGAAGACAAAGTATTCCTCAGGTCCTAAACAACATTCTTGACAGATAAATCTGTTCCACGTGTTCTGATTAGATTATTGCACTGTGACTATATCTGGCTGCTCAAGACTCTAAAAGGAATGAGCCTTAACCAGTGATTACAGTTGAGATTTACGGTCAAAGTTCATCAAAATTGCTTGTCCACTATTTTGACATTTGTTGGCCTTTGTTGATTTATAGTTACCTGAACAGATGCTAGATTATATTTCAAGACTCAGCTGGTAATCGAAGGGCAAACAAAGGCATATCAGTGAAAACCAAGCAGAATAAGAGACGTTATTCCATTTCCCAAGCTTGTCTCAAAGTGATTTATAATTCTTTCTGAGTGATCTGCTCCTTTACTTCCTGAGGAGGCTTACAGAGACAAAGTGCCTGAATGAGAATTCTAATATTGGCAGAATCTATTCTTTGAGTGAGAGTTGTTTAATGCTTTTTGCTTAGCATTGTAAGTGTAGCTTTTAATTAATAAATATCGAAGCAGACTTTTAAATATGCCAGACATTTGATTGACCAGTTTAGTCTTATTTAGGATTTGCAAACTCTAGGAAACGGTCTTAGTACAAATGTGGATGTGGAGCTGTCATTTTTAAACTTTGCACCAAAAATGATGTTTTAATGTTCATTAACTCTTTTTTTCCTTTGTCAACAAAATATCTGAAACATCTACAGTTATCTTTTCTTTCTGCATTTTTGCTTTTATTGATAAGACAGCTGAAGATAGACTGGAAATGTGGGAAAGACATATATCATACATCGAGGAATATAGCCTATGGGGCGCCTGCTCTATCAACTGAGCTAAACCAGAGTCCCATCTGCAGTAATATTGACAATATGTTGTTTTTTTTAAATAAGAAAAAAACGAAACCCTCTGGTGGTCTGGCATTTGTAAAAAATCATCTCAGGCTTTAGAAAGTTGTAGGGATTTTTTGTTTGTTGTTCAACTTTTTCAAAAGCCAGTACAATGTTTGGCAGATGGATCGATTAAAATAAACCGGTCGTTGGTCCTATCTTAAGTACAGAGCTGAACAGCCTGGAAAAGAAACTTCAGGTCTTGTAAAACTCAACATAAGTGAAACATTTTAAGTCATAATAACCTGTAATAAAAGCAGTTTTAAGGTAATTCAGTTAAATTATATGATTAACTTTGAATCCCTCTCTGTAGTTTTCCCACAGGAACGTTGGTTTTACTGCGAGTAATCTTTTAGGTCAGTCGCAAAAATCCCAACCTCTTAATGGGTAATGAGCTCCAATGTGAGGATTTGCTTCCTTTCTATTCATGAATGGATCAAATGCAATTTATTTGGTTTTCAGGCTTCTGATTAGACAAAAATAGACATTCAGAATGTATGACCTGATTATCTCCTGATCTAAAATCGAGAAACTTTGGCAGATTTATCAACATTTGAAAATGACTGTTGGTAGTAGCCTTAAGGTTACAATGCTGTTTATTCAACACTTTACAGTACAATCAAGGTTTTCATCTCAACATTCACTAAACATGTTCATTATTTATGGCTGACTGGTATACTGTTATATCGTAATTACATTATATGGTTTATTTTTTCCTGGAAATTGTAAGGCACATTCAACATGTTCTACAGGTTCCCACTGGAATGAACGGTTTAATGGGAGTGAATAGACTACTACAAGTCATTCACATAAATGTTTACCTGTCAGAGGATTTGTTGTCTATCATTAACTGAAAACATGAACTTCTGGCAGCTGGTTGGTCAAATATATATTTTACTTTCCAACGTCTTTCTATACAAAAAAAATAGAAAATGTTGGCAGCCTGACAAATAATGGGAAAACATTAGTTAGTTGCAGCCCTCCCATTAATTCTAATTCTGTATATTAAACAACATTTTAGGTTATTGGTCTCAACACTTACTAAAGTAATTACCTTACAATTAGTTTATGGCATTAAAAAAAAATAACCTTAGTGTTCCCAGTGAAGTTAACAGAAGTTGACAGACCAGTAATTATTAAAGTCATTAGCAAAAATGCAAAGTCTAAATTCAGTGTGAATTGACTGCTCATCCTCTCTTGGTGGATTTTAAAAGGTATAACTATTATTTGCAGCCCTGCTTGCTCTATAAGACAAATTAAGCAATGAAATGTGGATTTAAACAAGCAAAGTTTTAGTTTAAAATTTGATTGGACTTTTAATGAATCAAGTTACATGTTTCTCATTTTAATACTCGATGCATTATGTTTATGACCTGTGACACAGATGCATGTTGTTGTTGTTGTTGTTATATGGGAGAATGAAGTGAGGGTGCAAGGTCCCTTTAAGAATCCCTGCACAGAACCCAAAATGTTCACTATGTGGTAAGAAAAATGGTCTTTAACGGGGGGGGGGCCTCATGAAACACACGAGGCCCGTAACGTCGGTCTCATCAAACGGTGATGTGACCATCCGCCACCGTGTTAACTGACAACGACCATGATGCTGTGTGTGTGTGTGTGTGTGTGTGTGTGTGTGTGTGTGTGTGTCCGCCACGACACTGACGCCCTGCCCGCAGCCACAATATGTTGCACCCGCAATGCAATTTACAGAACAGAAAAACATGAAATTTACATCTCAAAAACGGCAAAGACTCTAAAAGCGATAAGCCAGCGGTGTAGATCATTGTCGTATATTTAAAACAACAGCATGAATCCGTCGATGATGCTTGCGGTGTGTGTCCACCCCTTCATTACAGAAATAAAGAAAAAAACAAAAACCACACAGCGGGGTGTCGGGATGGACTGTAATCACTTTCGGTGTGGTTTTTAAAAGAGAGATATTTGAAATGCGACATACCCAAAACACGAAGGAGTAAACGATGAGGAGGGTTTTAAGGCAGGTGATGACCGGTTTAGTCTCCATTCTGGTGCGAGCGTTAGACCCTCTGTGTGGTGATAACGGGGAGGGGAGGGGAGGAGGAGGAGGAGGGGGGGGGTTCAACCGTGCGCCGATGCAGCCGCACAGCGTCACTGGAGCAACGCACTTTACGTTACAGTCAATAATAAATGGCATTAGCCTATTATTTATCATCGATTCATTTAATGTGAGGGGAAATGTATACAGTAAATAAACACAAAAATACATAACTCTCATTGTCATATCTGTCAGATAGAAATTCTCCACCCTCTATAGGCTACATGCACTTATCCACGTTAATCTTAGTGTGCAACATTGTCTCATTCATTTACACATGATCTAATCTTTGTATGTGGTGTTTTTATTTGGAGCTTTATGGGCATACACATGTAAAAGGATGTCTTCTAATAGTCTGTCAAATTTTTTTTAAAATATTCGTTTAAAGTCTTAAAGTCTTTTATCCTTTTTGCTGAACAAAAAATAAAAAATAAAACTGTAACCTCCACCATAACTCATTTTTAAAACTGCAATATAATAATAATGAATAATATGTCCATGATAACAAAGTGCAATAATCTTGAAAATGTGTGTATATATTCCACCTTATTTTTATTCGTGTAAATATTTATTGTACCTATTATTTAAATCTTACTTACATTCCTATTCTATTTGATTAATATTTTTATTACTATATTTCTACTGCTATATTGTGTATTTTGGAGCAACTGTAAAGACTGAATTTCCCTCTGGGATTAATAAAGTATTTCTGATTCTGATTCTGATTCTGAAAGGTAAGCTTCGTCTGTACTATGATTATTATAACTTCAACGTGGAGCTACAAATATGTAGCCCAGCTGAAGGAGAGTTCTTATCGTCCATGCTTCTTATCTTTACATGTATACATTTTTAATGTTATGTGTTATTAATCTATCTGTGAAATAAAAAGAACAATACTCACCTCTAATATGTAGCGGTGTAGAAGGAGGCATATAAAGCAGCAGATCATGGAAATACACAAATTGAGTATATTTAAATTTTACTGCAGTATAGTAAATGGAATGACTAAATGAAACTGAATAACCTTAATTATCTGTTCATCGGAATTACAAATGCCAACACTACTGATACAAAATATAAAAACATTGGGTATATCAGTGTTTAAAAATGGATTATAAGTAGGACTAAATTACTTTATTCATGATAAATGAATAATTTGCCAAAGCTTCAAAGAAAAAATCATGTTGCCAGTTTGTGGAAAACCATCCTCCAGCATCAAAACTCCTGTTTCACTTCAGCTTTATAATACTCAGGAAGATCTCCCCAATGGTCTGCTTAATCTTTTTGGAAAGAGTAAACCAAAAATATTGACCCAGATTGAGACAGAGTAGTTGCACATTAGTTTTTATATCCATCTTGTTGAGCACCAGTTTGGACATGTCAATCAAAGATCGATCTAAGTACTTAAGAGAATTCATTACTAAAGCCAAGAGAGTAGGACTCATTCATCTTTTAGCAGATTCAGCAAAAAACTGACTAAAAACCCCATGTCCATCTTACTCATCTTTTGAGATCCATCTCCAGTGAGGGCTTGTTGTAAAACAAGGCACCGCTAGAATGTAAAGCTAGGATTTAATCCTCAAAGTTACATATCTAAAGCATGGAGGGATTACGGGTTATATTGTGCCTTTAAACAGTGTTAAACACATACTTCAACTCTTCAGTGTTCAATTCCGCTACAGGTATCGCAAATGGGCTCAAGAGAGCTTTAAACACCAGACAATTATCATAACATTCAGAGACCCATTTCATCATTCCTCATTTCCAAACCAATATTAATGTTTGGGCGCTTTTAAAAGACAGTGTTGTTGACCATTGGGATGCCAGCAAAAAGCCTCTGGATCGAATAATGCATCATAAGAGTGTGGCAACACAATGCTGCAAAATGGGATTGAGTGCAAATCTCTAAATGACTGAAAACTGTCAGGAATCTATAACCTTTCAGAGTACTTCAGAGTACCTTCTGTCATTTCTGTTTGTTTTATGTCCTGCGTCCTGCTCAGCACATGTTGTATAGGTAATCGAAGCAGTCTACTCTATCTCTAACCCATGTGTGGTCCGGGTAGACTGCAAAAACAAAATTGCCCTTTGGGATAAATAATATTGTCTGAGTATTGAATTCATTTTAAATTATTTACTGAGCAGAATCAATCTGCCAATGAAGAATGTTTTTTTTTTTTTTTGCCATAGTAAATATTTCATTTGCCTCAGCATCATGAAGGTTTTAATGAGATTTAGTCAAAAGGCGTATCAAAAAAAATAAGCAGATTGACATGACAAGTTAGTAGTGCTGGAGTTATGAAATGGGTACCAAGACATTCCTGGGACCTTGTTGTGATGCAAAGTCACTTGAGCTACTAGTGTTCACTATTTGACCTTCAAACTAGAGGAAGCTTGAAGTTAAGTGTCAAACCATTAAAAAGAAATACAGCAAAACAACTAACACAGGTTGATGTTTGAGTCAACATAAAGTTAACAATGCATCAAACTTTTTGCTCGTCTAGCAATACCAAAAAAGAAGACTGTCAATGATCAATGTGAGACATAATTTGACTCAGGGTTAGATCACTTTAATACACAACATAGGAACCATTAAGAAGGCATGGTTTAAAATAAGGGTTATCTGTCTCCTACAGGTATGCTACTACATGTGTTTGACTCAACTGAAGTAAAACTCAAGACAAATATGTTTAAAAAAAAAAAAAAAACACAAACATAATCGGTCATTACAGAAACACAGACATTGTGGTTTTTCAAGTGTTTTCAGTCAGTAGTATGAGCTCTCATAGGAGATACATTACATTTAATTCAAAGTGCTCAAACGTACAATTCTTTAAGACAAAGGGGCCTCTTGCAAGAAATCACAAATCTGTTCTTAAGTTCCTCTTCTTATTGAGTTATTGAAGCGCACTGAATACATTTTTGCACAATGTTCTTGTACTGAAGAGATATGAAACAAATCCATACCTGGTCGAAATGTCATGCTAATCATGCAGCGAATGTCGGGATTAAATACAATTTTAAATTAAAGAACTGACTGGAAAATCAATCGTGTGGTCATGGCTTAGCTGAGAAGAAAAAGACGGTAATTCTTGCACCTACAGCGTTGGTTCTTAAGCAGCTGGATGTCGAGGTTAACACGTTTTTTTTGCGACAAAATGAAGCAAAAAGGGAACCATGTTCCAATTGAGGTGTTCTGATAATCCAAATGATTAAATCTTACAAACTCAAAGACAGAGTTTGCATTAATCAGCTTATGAAATCTATAATAACACGACAATGTTCTTGCAAGAGGCCCTAATATGTAAAACTAGTGCATTCCCTGGTCTACCTGTGTGCATCAGGCTACTTTGTACGATAAAAGTCCCTGTTCTTTCTCAAGTCACTTAAGTCAGTCTGCAGCGGGACGGTAGAGATTATCGACACGGAAAACAATGAGAGGAGAATACATGAAAGGGCAACGGTGAAGTCAAAGCTCATATGTTCCCATGTTTCACCTGGAGCCCTGATGTGCTGCCTGGTTCAAACACATTTGCTGAGCGCCCCACTCTTCAAGGCCTTTCATCATTTTCAAAGCTGCCAGTCCTCCATTAGATGGTCTTCCCGCCACAGGTCTTGATAGTACCGTTTCTTTATACTGACCCAAACTCAGCCATCCAGGCCTCGTATTTTTCCAGGTCTGCGGCAGAAACAGACTTGGAGATCTTCTTGAGCGTCAGGGTGAAGTCCTCCATGGTCACGGGCATCTGCAGCTCGTCTTTGGGCAGAGCTCGGATCTCCTCAGGAGTCAGGCCTTGGATTCGACGACGCATCGCCATCATGGATGCATCCCTGATGTTCACATAAAAGACAGGAGCAGAGGGTCACAAATATGTAACAACTGTATGTACCCTCAAAGATATTTCACATCATATTTTTGACTAAGAATTTTAATCCTGTCAAAATGAATGACGTCAATGCTGCAACAAGGCTAAAATCCTGCAGGCTACAGGCTGTGTGTGGATGATAAACACACCCATACACACACACACAAACACACACACACACACACACACCAAGGTCAACAAAATGTTGTTGAGCCAGAGCTAAGCAGAGAAAACTTTTGCAAAAAAATATCTTACATTCCCAGTGTAGCTCTGGCAGAAATCACCATAAGGACAATGACGCCCTTACCTTACATTTCCTTACCATCAGAGGTGTGTGAGTGTGTGTGTGTGTGTGTGTGTGTGTGTGTGTGTGTGTGTGTGTGTGTGTGTGTGTGTGTGTGTGGGGTCTTCTCCCCCAGGGTAAGTTTTAGCATCAAAAAATTATTCTGCACAATTGTATAATCCAGGCTTTTGTCTCTTTTGACTGTTAATCTCGAAAATTTTCATTAAAAAATAAAAAAATGAAACTTGTCAACTTATAAATAGTTCTTGTGTTTCTGCACTGTTTAGTCATGCAGGATTTCTAAAGCTGTACACAAGCAGCTTCTCTATAGCCCATATGTAGTTTACATACAGATAAATGATATATCTGTATTTGTTTTAGCTTTGTTTATAGACTTGTAGGAATGGAAAAAAAGCACATTTGATTGCCCATCAAAAGAATTGATTCTCTCACAGACCTCCAGCAGCACAATGTGCTTATCTTTGAATACAGTCTGCATGACCTCTGACCTCATGCTTTATCTGCTACATTGCATGTTTATTCAGAGTTGAGTATTTCTATTAATGATCTACAAAATCAAACAAAATTGTTGATCTGACTCCTGTACTTGCAACACTGCCTTTTTTATGTTATGTTACTTTGTATGTAGTTCATATACATGTAAAGACCCAGTAATGTCATGCCCCTGTTTTACTAAAGCTGCTGTGGTCTGCTGGCGGAGCAGCATTGGAGCTGGTGACACTAAGAGACTGGACAAACTCATTAAGAAGGCCTGCTCTGTGATAGGCTGCAAGCTGGACTCTTTTGTAGTGGTGACAGAGAGGAGGACTCTTAACAAACTGTTATCCATTATGG